GGTTGGTAGCGCGGCGGGGCTGGGGCGGAGCGGGGCTATGGTGCCCTGGCAGCGTGCGGGGTCGGTTTGAAGCAGCAAAAGCACGCGAAGGAAACAAGGGCCTGTTAGATTGCTGGGGGTGCCGGTGGAGGAGGAGAACAGCAAAGCGGGTGCAGAGGTGGTCCCCGGTGAGGAAGAGGCAGCGAGGAGGAGAGAGCGCTGAGGAGGCGGGACTGAGTGTGTGGGACAGCAGGGGTGGAGAAATCCGGAGTGTGGAGCTTGGGGATGTTCTGTGGTGGGGAGGAGGCAGTTAAGGTGTGCAGAGAAGGAAGGGAGCTCAAGACGGGGTTAGAGGGAAGAGAGGCTTCGTAGAAGAACCAGGACAGCGGTGCAGAAGAGGAAGTGGAAGTAAACCCTGGAGTATCCTGGGGTGTAGGGTGCATAAAATGACAAGGGAGATGAGGAATGGCCCCTCGGCAGTGCCTGCTGCTCTGTCAGTCCTCCTCCATGCCTGGGACATTCAGGAATGATGTCCCAGAGCCAGACCTGTTGGTCCTTCTGGGCTTTACAGCTGTAAAACCTTGCCTACCACAGCTTCTCCAAGCTGGGGGCACAGACCTCTCCTTGGGGAGGAAAGGTAATTCATTCTTGGCTACCCATGTCTTATTAATAGGAGCCTGAAAAGGCACAGCAGAAAATAGTCCCATACCAGTGTAATTTGGTTGTAGTTTATATTATCTATCCATATTCATAGAATTGGGGCTATCTTTATGGTAGTGCTTGTCTCTGTGTATGAATGTTGAAGGACTTTTGTGTGATGTGTAGCTGAGAAGCCAAGTTCAGATCACAGCAAGTCACTTTGTTATCTTTAGTGAGACCTTTGTGGTCAACCTTAACAGTAGGAGTATGTTTGGTCAGGTCAAGATGCAGAATGAGTTACAGCTGTTTCAGTCATTGCCTTCCAGATATGTTGGGTGGAACTATAGGAAGAGGCCTATGAAATGTTTCCAGAGTCTTCAGACTGTTTCTGTCTCACATTTGCATGTGTGAGCCTTAATGTAGAACCTGCTGTCTTAAACCACACAGAAATTGCCAGACTATCTGAGGCTGAAGTTGTTTAGACTCATTGTAACAGTTCATTGCAGAACTACCAGAGGATTTAGATTGGTTACCTTCCAGGAAAGACAAGAGATTCGTGTCACTTCTGAATTCATCTCCCTGGAGGCCCATGTATCTGGTTGTGTATTTGAGGTTAAATTGCCTGAGGTTTGGGGAGTTTGTTTGTTTGTAAATAATTTACTACTTTGGGGTATTTTTAACAAGTCATTTCTTTACCTCATTTAGACACTGAGGATGCCAGTGAAACTGACCTGGCAAAACATGAGGAAGAGGACTTTGTAGAAATGAAAGAACAGTAAGTAACCCATTGTAATCAAAAGTAAAGTAATCCGTTTATTTGGTTGATGGGTTTTGGTTTGGGTTTTGGGTTTTTTTTAATACAGCTTTGCAAAGTTTTGTGCCAGGATTGAGGGTTTTTAAGTGCATAGCCCAGTGCAGTAGCTAATGAGTCCATATACTCATGTATCTTCTCAGTTACTTTCTCTGTACTGTATGTATTCAGGAAGCTAAGTGCTGCTACTGTTTTGGACAGAGCAATAGGAGTTTCTGTGAGCAGCTGAGTATTGCTGCAAATGAATCCTGCTGCAGACACGTCCTTTAAATAAAATAAAGTGTCTACTTTATATAAGCCAAGCAAAAAGCAAGATGCCCTTTAAAACCCCTTAAACAACAGAATGCTGTGCAAGATGATGGGATTTTGGGAGACTTGAAATAGTTTCCCTTGATATTCAGGTGTATTTGCAGTATTTTGTGCTCTCGCTAGCTGGCAGAGGCATGTTTTTAGACAGGTCAGGAAGACTTGACCTGTGTTAAAGCACACGTATGTGGTAAAGGAAACAAGTTTGCAATAGCACCAGGAATAGACTTTGGGTTTTTTTGTAATGTCAACACCTATGGGAGGAAACACCTTCTGTTTTATAAGCAGGGAGCTAACACACAAAATATTAAGGTTTAACAAAGTGGCAGAATGACTCTGGTGTAAAGTTTCTGGCATCTGTAGATCTAAATGTCATTTTAGATGTCAACATAAAGAAAAAAATCAAATCATATTTGACCCTGAACTGCTCCCAAAATAATTGGTTGGGTGCATTGTGAAACCAATGAGGTTGGCAGGGTTTGTAGATAGAATGTTAACCTTTAATTTGAATCATATTCTTTTAGTTGTTGTTTGTTTCCTGAAGTTCTCCCGAAAAGTTTTTAATTCCATGTAAACATGTAACTTAAACAGACGGTGAAATAAGCTCTGTATGCTTGTTTCTCAAAGTAAAGCTGCATGCTTTCTCTCTTTGCAGGATGTATCAGGACAAACTGGCATCTCTTAAGAGGCAGTTACAACAGCTGCAGGAAGGTGAGCTTTGAAGTTGGGAGGTTTTTATTCCTAAACAGTTTTCAGCGCTTTGCAAAGGTCATAGAAGGATGAGGGAGCAAAGACGTAAGCAGCATCCTTCACTGAATGGTGGCTATCTGTCATGCTGCTGAGTGAGAAAATCACGGAATCATGGAAAGGTTTGGGTTGGAAAGGACCTTAAGATTATCCAGTTCCAATCTCCTGCCATGGACAAGGACACCTTCCACTAGACTGTGTCAGCAAGGCTCTGTCCAACCTGGCCTTGAACACTGCCAGGGATGGTGCATTTACGGCTCTCTGGGCAGCCTGTTCCAGCACCTCACCACCCTCACAGGGAAAAAACTTCTTCCTTATATCTTCCCTGAACTTCCCCTGTTTCAATTTGAACCCATCACCCCTTGTCCTATCACTACAGTCCCTGATGAAGAGCCCCTCTCCAGCATCCTTGTAGCCTCCTTCAGATACTGGACTGCCACTGTCAGCCAACTGTCAGCCACTTCCCATCCTTTTGCCCTCTAAACACTTGTAGTTAAGCCTCTGTATACTAAAGCATTTCTTGAAAGGAGTAATTCACTTTCTGAAACAAGAAGCCAGGGAATGTGCTTACCAAAATAAGCTAACTAGAGCTGTAGTTTTCTGATTCCAGACATTAGTATTTGTGTTTCAAGTGGTTTATGGATCCTTAAGAAAATGTAATATTGCTTCCAACAAATTGATTTCAACTAGGTACTCTTCAGGAGTATCAGAAGAGAATGAAGAAGTTGGACCAGCAGTACAAAGAAAGGATACGAAATGCAGGTAAGCTGAATTCTGTTCTAAGATTCTGCACACGAATGTAATGGGTTTTATAATACCTGAAGAAAAATAATGGTAATTCTGTCCTTCAAAAAAAAGAACTTAGTGGAGCAAAGGGTTCTTCTGCTTCTGAGGGGTTTTAGAGTGTACAAAACATGACTGGATCTATCTCGGTTGTTTTTCCCCTTCATCAGCATTGTTTGACCGTTTCCTAGGCACTGATCAAAGAGTTTTAGTCTTCATTTGTGTGAAAAAGCACATGTAAAATGATTTTGTTTGTATCTGGCACTGTGCCTGACCTACAGTCCCCATCTTTAGCTTGTTCTTTTGCGCAGCTTGCCCAAAGCCTTCAGGTGGGCTGTTCCTTCCAGTATGCAGGATGGAAGGTTAGGGCTACATGCTTTCCCAATGGTTGGGTTTGTGCCCTGGAACAGTGAGTGCAGAGGTTTTGCTGCTGAAACTCTTACTCTGTATAGCTGTGCCATTGACTGGGCTGCCTGCACTTTGTGTTCTGCTCTGTTCCAGGAGCAGAGGCCTACGTTTCTAACTCTCAGCCTTTCTGAGTAGCCTTATTATGTTACTACAGAGAAATGGCATAGAAATCAGATCCATTTGCTTACCCGCCTTCTTTCTTGTTCTCTTTCCAGTAGGTTCTTATCTCAGATACTGAAGCAAGGCTTTTTATAGAAGCTATTAGGTAGAAATAGGAAATGTAGCTTTTCCTTCTTTAGAAAAATGGGATGAATCCTGTAATGTCTGGGCTATTACTCTGCGAAATAGGACAGGGAGGCAGTGGCAGTTTTATGATAGCTAACATACTCCAGCCTTGGAATAGTGTCAGTTGTGTCTTTCTAGAAGTGCTTGTGATGGTAAAGGATTTGCTTCAGGAGTTGAAGTGAGTTGAACCTACTTCTTGTTAACAGAAATCTGTCTTCTGAGATGAATTCCTGGTGCCCTAGAGCTACATTCTAGCAAGATTGGGTTATTTTGATAAAATTAAGGCTTAACTGCAAACTTGTATTTCTGGCAAAGACCAGTGCTGCAGCAGCGTATTTCTTCCACAGGAGGGCGCATGAGGATCACTTTCTGCCCAGTACTACAGGAAGAATTGTCTTTTTCTGTTCTTCCCATGTTGAGCTTTTGGGTTTGTTTTGGTTTTGTTTGCTTGGGGTTTGTTGGTTGGTTTTTTGGGTTTTTTTTGTGTCTGTGTTCTTGGTTTTGGTGTGAATTTTGTTTGAGAATTCACAGATATAAAGCAACAGGTTCAGATTTATCTGTATTTGATTACCTCGATAATCCTGCTTTCATGCTCAATTTATAGAGCCTTTTGCAAACAAAGGTTTGATTTTATTTGGCCATTATCATCTTTAGTCCCTATGATCTTTTTTTTTAAAGTTATATAGAAAAAGGTATAGTAGTATGGAGCTGCTCCTACAGCCTTTTGTAGTAGCAACAAGATACCTGAAGCCTGTGATCTTCCCAGAAGTTTTTACGAGATCAGATTTTGCCAAAGCTTAATATCTGGTGAAATATGGTGCCTTGGGGACTGATCAGGTGCCTTAGTTGGCTTTTCTTGCCACTATCTTGAATCAAAACTTTGTTTTGGGCATTATGTCCTTCAGGAAACATGAGAAGGATCCCATCCTTCTTAATTTCAAGTTGGTAGAAGTTGCGCATCCATCAGTAGCAGGACTGTTTCAGACCAGAAATTCATTTGCCTCATACATAAGTATGACTTAAACTAGTCATTGTCATGTGTAAGAACTTAACCTTCAGTGATACGTAACATTTTCCTTGTTCTCTCGGGTATAAACAGCCTGAAATGAGACATGAGTTGAGTAGGTGAATCTTCCAGCAGCTGCAGGGTGATTTCTAAACTAGTCATTGCTGAAATCCATGAAGTTGCCTTAAACTATGATATTTCTTTTTTTTTTTTTTTTTTTTTTTTTTCCACCCCCCCATTTCCCCCCCTTTTTCAAGTTTTTTTTTTTTTTTTTTTTTTTTTTTTTTTTTGCCAGCCACACATTCAGCTCCATGTTTCAAGTTTCTGTCTGGGAAGTTTGTATCTAGTAATAACTGATTGTGATTAAACTGCAAGAAAGATGGCGTATGTGCTTAACACTGCTGGGAATAGTAGCTAAACTGAGTAGTATGGAATACTGCTGTGTAAGCTCTGTGAATCTGCTTGACAATCAGTAGAAAACTTCAACTAGCAATGTATTTTTGTGGAATTTTTTCATAGTTAGCTTATTTTCAGCATAAAACTGCCAAGTGAGAGTAGAGGTTGGATGAGTACGTACCCGATTTGGTTCACTGCCTCTCTTGGCTGCGATATTTGATGACTTAAAATGTTAGGGAAGTAATTTTATGCATCTTTGAAGATAACAAATAATGTCTGTCTTGTTTTTCAGAGCTGTTCCTCCAGCTGGAAGTAAGTACTCTTAATTTATCAAAATCAATCTTAACTAGATGGGAGAGGTATCAACCTTTTGTTTCATCAACTAGTAATTCCCATAAGGCTTAAATCTTCCTCTAGCTGGCACTGTTACACTTGCCATGTAGTACAGCCTACTTCTGGTATTACCATGGGTAACTTCTGGACTTTCTCATTAAAACAGAATTAAAAGCAATATTTGCTTTTGGGCTGTTGTGTGCTGACTGTGCATGTGCTTGTTTCAGGTGATAAATGCTGTCTGTAAATCTGAAGAGCTCTCTGCTAGAAGCTCTATGTTATGCAACATTGAAACATTTTCTTTTTAAAATAATTTGTTTGCCGATATAGTCCTACTCACTTAGTAATTTTTAGATAGTTTTCTGTTGATTATAAATATTGATAATCTTTAGAACTGGCTACAGTTCTGAACTGAAAGGCTAATCAATAGAGCAGTTGAAAGAAGCTGTTGTGATATCATTAACTTGTCATTGGTTCCTTAGTTAATGTTTTGTTCTTTTGGTTTTCATTAGACAGATCAGGTGGAGAAGAATTATGTCAAGGAAAAAAAGGCAGCAGCAAAGGAGTTTGAAGATAAGAAAATAGAGCTTAAGGAGAACCTGATCGCAGAGTTGGAAGAGAAAAAGAAGATGATTGAGAATGAAAAGCTAACCATGGAATTAACAGGAGGTAAAACCAAGAGAGACTTCTGTCTTTTGTCTTGTCCACCCTGCTACTGCTTAGAAAAGAGATATCAGGGTAGCAATGCTGGTTTTTACAGACAGCTGTTGTGAAGGCTTTAAAGGTTCTCCAGATCAGGATTCGACTAGATTTTGCCTTTGGAAATGGGCGTACCAATGTTTTAGGAGTCTAAAGGAATTCAGTTTCTCTATCAGCTGTTAACATCAGGATTTGGATTTGCGGAGTTAAAGGGAGACTGAGGAGGGGTAAAAAGAAGTATTTAGTAGTCTGATTTGGGAACAGAAAAGGCAGGTAGGTCACTGTGGAGAAGAAACTCATTCCGTGCATGTTAGCCCTCTCTCATCTCCTTCATTCCAGGCTAGCAGAAGTGCAGTGTGATTTTGTTAGAAGGGATTTTGTTGTGAACACACACTGGAGGTTAAGAAATAAAACTGCTGAAATTGGTGTGGACTTGATGGGTTTTAGAACCTGTGGAAGGCTCAGCGTATGCAAGGATGCAAGTTAGCAACCTGATGAATCATAGGATCGCAGACTGGTTTGGGTTGGAAAGGACCTTAAGATCATCCAGTTCCAACCCCATGCTGTGGGCAGGGACAGTTCATCCTAGACCATGTCACCCAAGGCTCTGTCCAGCCTGACCTTGAACACTGCCAGGGATGGAGCATTTACCATGTCTTTGGGCAACCTGTTCAGTGCCTCAGCACCTTCACAGTAAAGATCTTCCTTATATCTAACCTGAACTTCTGTTTCAGTTTAAACCCATTAAACTTAATGAAGTGTAATGAAGAGGCTCATCTGTGAGGGTTGGGAGCACTGCGGTTTGAATAGGTTGCAATAGTTGCCTCCCATTCTGGTGCATTACGTACTGTGGTTCTTAACTCTTAAGCCTCATGCAAGACTGTGTTTCAGGTTAAATCTGCTGGTGCTTTAGTAACTCTTCAAAACTTCCTTTAGAAAGTTTCGATGAATCTCTGGAAGTTCTGCAAATTTTTAGCAGTAAATGTAAGACACTCCAGCTCTGGAGGGTTTTTGTGGCTTTCTTGAAAGCTTGTTTGGTGCTGACTTTCAGCGGACTTGTCACAATTTTAAGATACAGGATGCTAAGATAAACAGAGAAGAAAATTGGTCTCTGCCTTATTCACATTTTAAGTAATACAGACAACTGACAACTCATTTGAAACTCATTTTTTAAAAGGAGAAAAAACCACCTCGACTTGGTTGTGTATCACCTTGAGTACATGCTTTAAACCCCTCTTTTTAGGCTCTTGTAAGTTGGTCTTAACAGGCAGGGAGAGTGGCTTGTGTTCCTCAACTCACCACAGTGAGTTACATTTCTAGTGTCTTGCAGGGCTGTTAATGTTCAGTTGGTTTTCAAATTCGAGTTTGAATCCTAGAGATAAGGTTTCCTTTGGCATACACTTAGTTGCACTTCATCTTATTATTTTTTAAAGCTTTTATTGTGGTATTTGTTCCCTTGATGTGTAGTGTGGTCATTCTTGTTCACGTTTGCCACAAGGAAAAAAGCAATTTGCTGGTTTGAACGTGTGTAGCTGCATGTAGAGGGAGCCAAAGAGGCTTCATAGACAAGTGCTGCTTAGGATGTGATTCAGGTGTATTTAAAGGTGAGCAAATACTTCTCAGCACATAGAGAGGTGAGATAAGTTTAACATTTAAGATGTGGCCTCTTGGTTGCCAATTGAAGATCTCTTCATAAATTAAGGAATGATTTGTGAGGGTTGAAGTAGCTCAGTTAAGACTGCCTTGTAGACATTTGGACAAACTGTAATTTCATGTAATTACTTGGTGATGAGTCTTGTGTTTCAATGTTAAACAGATGTTTTCTTCTTTCCCAGTGCATATGCTACAGTTTAGTTCCTGTCAACTGCTGCTCTGCATGTTATTGATTAGCTCCATTTCATTAATCATAATTTGAAACATTTTCAGATTATCTGAATTTAAATATTTGTGTTTAAAATGACTCCAGCAGACTCGTTTCAGGCTTGAAGGCAGTAATTATCTGTATTCCTTGGATAAAAAGCTAGTTTTCCAGTTTGAAGACAAGAAAAAGAGCAATGGATTTGTAGCTAATGTTTTCCATGCTATTAACTGTCGAAGTTTTGTTAGCAAAGGACTCCACGAATTTTGCCTTCTAAATGGTGTGTTCAAAAGCAAATAGTAGCTTAACCTTAAAGAAATTTGAATCCTTGTAGCATCGTGCTCTTTATCTGCACCTGTAGCAGCTGTAAATGAGAGCTGTAACCGTGGCATTGCAATGCTGTTACTGAACAGTGACCTAGTGTGAAAGAGATCTTGTGTTTGCTGTCAGCAGATCCAGCCTGGGTGCTGGAAGCTATCACAAAAGTAAAAAGTCAATTTTCTGTATGAAAGAGGAAAGATTTATTTTCCTAGTGCCTTGTGTAGAATGCTGCTGCTTCTTAGTCCCTTCCCTCTGGTCTTATCAGCTCTCCAACTTCATTACCCTACAGATTCAATGGAAGTGAAGCCTATTATGACAAGGAAGCTGAGGCGGCGACCAAATGATCCAGTTCCTATCCCAGACAAGAGGAGGAAACCTGCCCCTGATATCCTTTCACAGTGCCATTGGAGGCTGTTGTGCTGCACCTCTGTTTTGTACAGGAAGGAAAATGAAATTAGGTGCTTGGATCAGATTTTAATCCAGGAAATACTGAAGCACAATTTGTCCTGTATAATGTGTGATAAACTACTATAACACAACCAGTCTTTGGAGATCACTTGGTATCCTGATTTAAACTTCACAGTGTCATGAGAGAACTTATTTTATTAGGGTTTTTTTGTTGGTGTCAGTGAGAATACTTTCAGTTCTTCAGGCAATTCTTTTCACAAGGGAAAAATTTTAGAAGAGCATTATACATAAATGCTGAGGTAATGGATTCCATAGATAGTAAATGGCTTTTTACATGAGCCAAAGCTTTTCTCATTTCAAGATGTGACAAAATGTTTGCCAGAAAGCTCGTATTTGTCATATCAAACTGATTTTTCCATTACTGATAAAGGCTTCAGATCTCTAATCCAGAGAGATGCATAGCAAAAGCAAGGACTACTAGCTTTGTTCTTTGAGTAAAGAAAGATGGAAATCCATCTTGTTTTTATATATTGTGCATAAGAGAGAAACACGTATGTGTAATCCTGCTGCCTTATTGCATGTTTCTTAGAAGTAAAATGTTCCTTAGCTTCTGGAAGTATGTTTTTAGCTCCCCTGTGATGCTAGGCACTTTTTCTCTTTGTACTTTAAATTCACCTGGAAAGGAAGGCAATGATATTTGCTTTGCAGAGGCTTATTATTAGCTTCCAAACGTGTATGGCTTGAATCAGATTAAAAAATCCTTATCTTGCAACTTCTGAGTGATTCCCATTTTCTGAAGGCAGTATCACACCTTGAACTCTGTTGTTCATGTGGTATGCTCACAAGCATGTTCACTTTTAATTAACCTCTTCTGATTGGGGATTCTGTTCACTCTTTCAGGAAAAACAAAAATCTGCTCAGTAGTGCCCCTATTTCATCCAAAATAAATGAGTTTCCCAGTGGGCATGACTTTGTAATGGAGCGTGATACGACAGTCACAGTATGAAACAACGCCTGTCTTTCTCACTGGGGAGAGGGTTAAAGTCTATCAAAACTAAAAACCTTAAAATGCAGTCCAGCAATTGTTAACTTTAATACTTTGAAAACTTTTGACTTAAGGGCTGTTTCGAAGAAACACTGTAGATTAAAGCTGGAGGCAGGGTCCACTGCTGGGTGGTGTTTTCCTTCTGTGTACTTAGATCTTTCTAGTGAGGAAGTGACAGAGGAACAGTAGACAAAGGAAGTAGGAAGATGTGTGTGTACAACTACACAAAATGTCAGCAGAGCTCTAATAAGGCTCTAATACAGTAAGTTCTGTGTTCTGAGATTTTGGGTTTGTTTTGAGGTTAATGATAGACTCCCAATCATCCTCATCCACACAAGGATGTGTTCCGTGCCTGGCTGTATTTTCTGGTTCTTATTTTATGGTGGATCTTTATCCTATTTCCCTACCTCTCTATTTCTGCATACTGAGTTGCAAAATGCTGTGTTTCTTTTCCCAGGTTTGGGTGGGATTTGGCTTCATTGAACAAAATATGAAGCAAGTCTGTTCTGTTTCAGCTCCCACATTGTTCTCTGCAGAAATGCAAGAGGAAACCCATGGAAAACACTCGTGATGATGCCTCCATGAAGTAAATGTCAATGCACTAAAGGTTTTCCATTGATGGTTATGTCTGAATAAGTTAAAATGGTTTGGCACTCTATTTGCTGCTAAATATGAAGCTCTGTGGAGATGAACTTTTATTAACTCTTATGACAAAACAAGCTCAAATACGACACATTAAAATCTTATGCAACTTTAGGGAATCCTTTTGGCTCACATTTAGTCAAGTGAAATGAATGTCATTGACCTTTAATTTTAACCTTGCTTGTCAAGAGCTTATGGGAACCTTAATTTTGGATACCTCAGCTAAATTACTTGTTGACTGATGAGCAAATAATGGAGGACCTGAGAACACTGAACAAGGTAGGGCTTATGGCTTGATTTGATTTCTTTCTTTGAAAGAGAAAGCTAATGTGCTCCCCTGAAGAGAACAGAGCTTTCTGGTTTGTGTTCCTCCTTGAGATGTGGGACTTTTTCATCCCAGTAGGCTTTCAGAAGTAACAATAAAGATTTAGCAAGATGGTATCTCCTCCCTTTTACTTTAAGAGGTTTAATTAACCTAATTAAAATGACTGTCATCTAAAAATGTTACCTTTTGTCTGAACCAAATGATGAGCTGCCTTGAGGAGCTTCTTCCTCCGCATGGCTGAGCTGATGTTGCTGTGTTTCTCTGTGAGATCAGAGGCTGCCTTTGTTCCAGGCCTTAGTGTGGGATGGGTTTTTCCTGTTTTCCTTTTTCTCCCCACTGTCACAATACTTCAGCAAACTACATTGGGTGCAGTTGATAGTCTTTCTAGATTGGATTAACTTATTGCTTTCTTGCTAACCACTTTAAGGCTTATCTAATTTCTTCTAATAGAAGCATTTGAGGATGGTGGTGGAGCGTGTGCTTTGTGCCAGCTGTTGAGGTGTCTCTAGTGATTTATCTCCTGTATTTCATGTACCCTGAGAAACGTTGGATCATGTTAACAAATAGTGTTAGATGGGTTTGGTTTTGTCTTTAGTGGGTTATCTGAATCCTTTGAAATTCAGTTTGTAGACCTTTTGTATCATGATACTGATTATCTACACCTCTGACCGTTCATAGCATGCTGTTCTGTGTTATGTCACTTAATGGTACATTTGAAAAAGCATTTAAGGCTATCTGAAATTATTACTGCTGACTTGTATGGCTCACATCAGATCTCTAACACTTCTTTGCTCTCTTTCCATGTAGCTTAAATCACCCAAGAGACCAGGTGAGTTAGCAGTTGCATTGGAGCTTGTTCATAGTTGAACAGACAACTGTATTGTGGGCTGTTTGACTGTATAATTGTTGACTGTGGAATTTGACTGTATAATTGTTTTGACTGTGTAATTGCTGTTCTTTGTGTAGCTACTGCAGCAAATGGATGCTGTGTGACGTCTCTTTTGCTCTGAAGCTTGTCAGGTTTGGGAAGGGAGGCATGTGTACTTTTTAGTGGCTGAAACACTTGGGCATGGAACAATCTCTGTAAAGAGGTGTTTCCATTATATTTGGATGCATCTGGGCAGCTTGCCTGCTGGTCAGGGAGATGGAGGGATTGAGAACTGTGGGTTTCATGCCTTTAGCTGTCTGTATGTGTCCGTACACTATTTCAGGACGGTGGTACTGACTTGCCTAAGTAAGTCTGACCCTATATAACTACTGTAGATGAGAATTAAAAGCAAGGATATCTATCACCTCCCTATCAACATTTTTTCCTGATAAATGTATTTTTCAGTGACTATTATAATTCGTATATTCAAGGCAGAGTTGGGATGAAGTATTCATCCTAATAGAGAATATTTTTCTGATGGAAAATTTGAGTTTATGGCTTTCTATGCTTACTATTTCTGCTTCATCTGACCTTATTAATTGCAGCAGATGTGCTGCTTGTGTGGTGGTCTTTAAATACAGTCTCTCCTGTTCTCAGCCTCTCCCTCCTCTCCTGAGCACCTCCCAGCTACACCAGCAGAGTCTCCAGCACAGCGGTTTGAGGCCCGGATAGAAGATGGAAAACTCTACTATGATAAGAGATGGTAAGTTCTGGTTTATCAGTCTGAGTGTTGTGTAGTGAGAAGACACAGACTACAGAGAGAAACTGCTTTAATAAAAGAATTTGAGGACAAAATGCTTTTGGGCAGAGGCTAGCCACTTCCTCCGAGGGCTAATCATTGTGACTTTGGTAAATCAGAAGAGATAATGGAGTGTTTAGACCTCACAGGCTTTCAGTAGTAACTATAGGCTTGAATAAAAGGAGACTTAAATCTTTTCCGTGGAGTCAGTGGTGCTTGGGAAATGTTTTTGTCAAACCTGATGTTAGGTAAGAGAGGTACAAGCAGACACAGTGTGATGTAGCAATGAAGCCACTCAGCTATGATACAGATACTTTGATAGCAGGTACAGTGATGTATTTGCAGTCCTGGTGCTCAGTTTTGTAGAACACCAGCCCATTGTTCCACAAGGTGGCAGAAGAAATGTCATGCACCAGCTGAGCAGAATGAAAAATGTTTCTAATAAATCCAAATGACCTTTAAAGATCAAACCCATATGGGAGAAGCAACTTCAGAAATGCTGGCTGGATTTAGCTCTGTGAAATGTTATGGGCATATAGCTGTGCAAGCCTCACAAAATGCAAGGAAAATATTAATTTCTGCAGGGAAATCTTAGTAGGTTTTAAGCTTGAGACATGCAAACCTGGATCATCAAGGGGACAATGTTGTACTCCTTGAGCAGAAAGCCATTTGCAAGTTGTATGCTTATTTGTGGCTTACTTTAGTGCTCTAGTGGCCCAAAATAACAAGTGACAAGGTTGTAATTTTATCACAGGCTATGGTACGTGTGAAGCTTGTTTTCTACACAACAGCCGTCTTGTGCATTTGGTCAGTTTTTCCTTCTCCTAATCTTCTGGTAGTGAAGTTTCATCGAGGGCTCAATGTGTACAGCTCTGAGAGAAGCTGCTGCATGAAGCTTAGACTTCCATGAAGCATAAAGCAGACATGAACTGAACAGGCTGCTTGTTTCACAAATTCATGAAGTTTTTTAGCTTTCATACATTTGTGTGTGTGCATAAGGTGATTTAGATGACTAAGCTGTTCCTTAGAACTTTTAAGCATGTGCAGTACTGAGAAGTGTTGCATAAGTGAAAAATTAATCTAATTTAAAATGAAAAGGAAAGATGGAATCTGAAGTAACCTGTCAGTAGAGCTCCCACCAAATTCAAACCAGGGAGAGCTTCACTGAGCCCAGATGAATCTCTCAAAAGCACCACCTCTCTCTGAAAGGTATCTAGTTAGAACATAAACCACATAACAGTTATTTTCACCTTGCTGAATTTGGTTGTCATGGGAGGTCTCAGTGTCATGATCTTTCCTGTCTGCCTTGTTCTTATGCTGGTTTAAGGTATTTTACCTTTTTTGGGTTTTTTTTGGCTGTAATAATCCTGCTTAGATTATTTTTGACTGATAGCAATAGCACTTGTGCAAAGTAGCTGGTAGTTGGAAATAATGAAGTAACTCTTGATAGTGTGAGGGTAATTTTTACTAAGGTGTATTAAGACTATAGCTGCTGGTGTGCACCAGCAGTAACAAATCTGACAGCTCAGGAGCGACCACTTCCTGTTAGCCATGAAGAACCATTATCTCAAAGCAGTGAATGTTTAAGGCTAGTAATGGGCTCCCCAATTGCAGAGACATTTCACAAACATGTTTCCAAAGTGGAGGCTTTGTTTAGGGAGTTTCATATGGATGTGGAATTAGACTTCAGGTTTTTTATCCTCAGTTTGCTCCATGCCCCCATCAGATCCTGAAATACAGTTCACTATCTTTTTGCTTTGAGCTTTGTTTGCATACACTAATGCAAAGTGATTTCTTTCAATCTTCTGAGGGAGATACAGTTGAAAATCTTGGTCTTTCAACAAAATATTCTGTAGCAGAAAGTGGTATTATTCCTGCTTGCCTCAGTATTGCAGTGCATTTTGTCTACTGCAAATGCAAGAGTTGCATGGCACTTTCCTGCTCTTGAAAGCCAACTTCAATTCCATTACATTTTTCATCTGAAGTATTCTCCGTAGTTCTGCTCCTCTGTACCCCTTGTATATAGAAACATGGCAAAAGACTGAGACAAGAACATGCCACTGAGGCTACTCTACCTTCAGCTGAGCCATCTCCGTGTGCACAGAGACACCTGAGACAACTCTTCAATGAAAAAGTGCTGAACTAACTTGTTACCTTGCCTCTTCTGTCCACAGTTAACACGGATTTACTGAGGGATGGTAACTTGTAATGTGAGATCCTGCATTAACATTGGAATTCACTAGTAATAGGAAATTGAAAGAAACAGCTTTGAGTGGAAGAATTACTTCATTAACTGTGCAGGCACAGATAACACTGGAGAGTTGTCATTTGTAGTGGTATCTTCTGCACTCTGTAGCTTGTGCACTGATGGTATCAAGATCATCAATTCTCCCTGCTTAAGCACACACAGCATGGTGTAAGACACTGCTGGACTGAGACTTTATGTCTTGTCTTAGTGAGGCCTGGGTTTTGTAGTAGTTTAAACCATTCCTTAAGATCCATTAATGACATCTGAGCTCAGCAAACTGAGATTTTTGGCTTGGATGATCATGGCTATTGCATTGCCCTGAATCCCACTGACATCCTTTCTGTTAAAATGAGGGGGAGGGGATTGTGATTGGGCACAAGTATCTAAAGGAAGCAGGATTGGGGTGTTTTTTTTTTTTGCATTACCTTGCCCAGCCCATTGCAATTAGTATGTTTGGAAGGCTGAAAGCTGCTCTATCCTTCTTGTTACTGGCAAGCACTGTGAGTAGATAAGCCAGTAGGAAGAGATTGTGGAATAAACTATTGGAAGAATTCCATATTTACAGTATGGGTTTTGTAGAAATAATGGTAAAGATTATGCAAATCTGTGCATTTTGACAAATGGCTTTAAGCCAATCAGACCGCAGGGAGTTGCATACTGAGTAGTTCCTGAGGGGGAATATGTGTACAGTGACTCTGCAACTTGGATTGCCCAGTTAAATATGAAGCACATCATGATTTGGGTAAAGGTAGAAATATGCTTTTATAACTATAAAGCATTTTGGTGCTCTGTTGGTTAAGATTATTTGCTTGCAAGTAACTTGTTTCAGTGTAATTAATTCTGTCTATGGAACAGAATAAACTGAAACTGGGCAGTTTTGTCCAGCACACTTTGCACACACCAATAAAAACATGGTCTGTGGAGAAGGTAAGACCATGAAATCAACTGATCCAAAGTTTTTCCTTTGTTTTATGCAAAGTAACACCAAGAGAAATATATACCAGGAGAAAAAATGAATATGCTTAGACACAGCCTTGTCATGGCAGGTATATACAGCTTCTTACAGAGCCACTTACCTACCCATCACTTACATTTTGGGTGTTTTCACAAAATGTAACAGCATTACAAACTTCGAGGTCTCTGTTTAAACAATACATAGACTTCACTGATTGAGTAAATTCATTTTGGTGGTGGTGCACTAGTAACTTAGTGTTGGGGAATGTGGGTAACTTTCGAGCATCTGTGATATACTCTGCCTTATCAGGCATAATATGGAGTTGCCTTCTGAAATCTGTTCTTGGTCTGAGATGTGAAAGGCCAGTTTGATTAACTCTTGAAACACGGGCTTATTGTCAGTGAGTGAGTGTTCTCCTGTCTTGGGCTTTGGGGCTCTGCCCCTCTTTCAATGTCAAATCTGGTTTCAGTAATTGCATATAGAATGGACTATGAATTGAGAGCTTCATGCATTTCAAAGTATTATTTATATGCAAAGTGTGTGTAGAATCAGACCACCCGCTATGTTGTGAAGATGGGGAAAGTGGTGTGGAAAGACAGACTTCATATTTACTCTATCCGAATGCTTGTAGAATTGTAGCTTTATCAATCTTACTAGTGATTCTTTTCTCAGTTTTTAGACAACTAATGATTTCGTGTTTTCTTTGTTTGTTTTGTGTTGGTTTTTTATTCTTTCTTTTTGCAGGTACCACAAGAGCCAGGCCATTTACCTGGAGTCTAAAGAGAACACTAAGATCAGCTGCGTGATCAGTTCTGTGGGTGCCAATGAGGTAGTGGGCTGCTTTGATTTTCATGGGAGTGGGGAAGGGTGTGGGTCAGTGTGCGTAGTTAAGGACAAAGATGAAATCAGTATTAGTTTCAGAAAAGATGTAGCTGTCTGGTGTATAAAGACGCTAAATCCAGGATAAAACAAAGCTGAGCAATCTCTTCTTGAGATCAGAAGAGACTTGCTCTCTCTCTAAAGAGCGATCTTACACTTTGCAAGTAGTAGTTTGGCAGGCAGGAAAAACGGGGAGAACTGATGTGTTGCATTTCATTGGCGCTACGTTCCATCAGTTCCATTTCCATTATTTCAGGAACATACAGTTGTTGTTAATGCAAAAATAATAAAATAAAAAATATCCTATTGGGAGTTCAGAAGAGGATTAGGAAAAATGTTGTCACCAAATTTAGCTGTTACAAGTGGAGAAAATTCTTCCTTTAACCTGGGTACGTGTATTGTAAGCTGGCAGCATTCACCTACTTGGAGCTAGGGCAGGTGAGTCATTGCTCTGAGACAATTGCCTTGTGGCTAATGATTAAAGCTTAGAAGAGCAGGTGAAGGGAGGTGTGTGCCCAAAATTGATGTGAATCTTGCTGCAAAAGAAGCTCAGTCCTCGAGCAGTGCATCAGTCAGGCAAAGGGAGCAGTTTCTTTGCTTGCAGGTTCCAGACGCTTCAAGGAAAGAGATGATAGACTTGAATGCGCTTCTCTTCAATCAGCCAGTAAAGTAACTTTTATTTGTTTTGGCAGCTAAGGGAAAATATTTTCTTTTCAACAAAATGAGTTGCATATGGGCTATGCTTTGTACCACAACTGTTCCCCTTGCAGTAACAGTTGTTATGCTCAGTGCTTGGTTATTTATCTAAAGTAGTGGCATGCTAATGGATGTGTTAAAGATGTAGTACTCCTAATTGGGTTAAAGTTATCACTGTTAACTTACAACATGAAAACTTCATCTTTTGGGAGCATCTTACCTGAAACCTGAGGGGAATGCAATCTGTTAATTAGCATTGCATTAATTCCACTTTATAGTGGGACAGTTGGTTTACTCGTACAGTGTCAAACTGTACATGGTGGTTGTTCTGTGCAGTTGCTCAGTTTGTAGGTTCTGGAATTCTGGTTAGTAAAACGTACCAAATTCTTGGAAGTGTTGCAGTAGGGAGATGATTATCAATGACTGTGGATTTTGATTGCTCTGGGGAAATAACTGAAGTACATATGCAGGCAAATATTAAATATGTTAAGGGCTTCTGTTGGTGAAGTCAGTTTATAATTAAAATAGTAGAGTTAAATCAATCTACTGTGCCAGGCCTGTAGCCAGTATATCTAGATAGATCCAAATATATCTAGAAAATCCCCAAATCACATGCCAACATTAACTTTATAATTCTTTGCAGTAGGAAATAGTGGAAACAAAAATACTTCTTCCATGCAGGTGTTAAAAAGAAAAAGGCCCTTTTATCTTAAGATACAATTTATTCAATATACTGTGAGAAATGCTTCACTGAACAAAATCAGAATGAGCTTTTTGTTTGACTAATAGTGACTTGTCTGGGCAAATCGCAGGATAGATAATTTTATGATCTGTGGATCTAGAGAGACTTATTCTTGATCAGGTGAAGCTTAATGCTAGAGTTCTGTTGCTAACTGTAGCAGAAGGAAACCTGCTTTTCTGATGATTCTTTGATGCTTGGAAAGAGTAATATTTCTGGATGACTGTTTGGAGCAGGAAGTTAAGGTGATAAAGTTAGAAACCTTACTTGGTTTTCTACTCAGGTTGCAAATGCCTCGTGTGGAAGGGAGAAGGGATAAAGCTAAATCATCTGGGCACCCCGAGTAAGAGAGATGTTCAAATCTGACGATAAGAATACCTGGACTTCTTTGTGCCTTGCTTACTGTGGATTTTCACCTTTCCTCCCCTGCTGCCTTTATCCCCCCCCCCCCCCTTTTTTTTCATGCAGATCTGGGTGAGGAAAACCAGTGACAGCACAAAGATGAGAATCTATCTGGGACAGCTGCAGCGAGGAGTTTTTGTCATTCGTCGGCGATCGGCTGCATGACTCTGCTCTTCCTTGGTCTTTTTTAACCAATAGACAAACCTCTGGTGGGGAATGGCAGTCTGTCCACTCAGCAGCAGGGGACACTGTCATGACCTCTTACAAGACAGTTTGTGGCTGGCCACATAATCCCCAGTAGTCCTTAAATCTTTAGTGATACAAAAGCACTGCCCTGGACTCTTATCTGGATTTTGCATCAAGCTTCTGTATGCTTTCTTTATATTTGGGCTATTTAAGAAGACTTTGCATCATACTTTTTTCAGCATTGTTTCATGGTGCACAGATGGGACTCATATGTTGAAAATGTCACGTTTATGTTTTGAATCAGACCATGGAAGAAACTTTGCTTGTCAAGACCTGCAGTTATTCGTTGTTTTTTGGGTTTATTATTCTTCAGGGCTTGGCATTTTGGGCAAAAGGAGATTAATCTTACCAGGTTTCAGCTGCAGCTGAGATGCATCCATAGTACCTGGTGTCTGACATCAGCTTTATTGGATGAACTGTTCAAAGACTTGAGTGCTGAGGCTGCTTTAGGAGAGCGCGAACAGCTTAGAACTGCTGCAAGTCCAGTTGATTTTAGTGTACTTAAGCAGCCAGACGTCATTAATCAGAAGTTTCTCTTTCTCTTCACATTAAAAAACCCTTCAATGAACAAGCAAGGAGTATGTCAGTTTGCTGAAGTCAGTTACCTGAAATAGGCAGATGAGTGTAAACCAAAAGATTAATTGACTGGATTTTGCAGATAGCAAGACTATATGAACTATATGGATGAGTATTATCACTCACATATGTAGAGAGATGAAAGGTAAATTCTACTTTCTTCGCTAATGCCTAGAGTAACAGGTTATGCTGGAATCCTGCTGACAGAAGATACCAGATCTGTTGCATCTTCCGAAGAAGCCTGCTACAAAACAGTAAGCAGCACTGACATGCTCTTGGTGTGCAGCTGAAACCGTCACTCCCTAAACTGCCACACAAAGGTTTCCCTTTGAAGGGTATTTCAAACAGTGAAGATAACCCTGGTTTTACACTTGTCCTCCAATAGCACAAGTGAAAACACTCAAGTGCTGATGTTAACATACTCCCAAGGTGTTTAAAGATCTGACTTTGGCATTCCTTCATTATTCCCACTCTTGCTGACAGCTGAATCCACCAATACCATGTGCGACTGCATTGGCATGAGGGACACAGTGCACTCACTGGCAGTTTTGTCACATCTTTGCCTTCTGTGCAAAAGAACTTTGTGCTCTTTTTGATTCCTGGACAAGAAACTGTAATTTCTGGCTTTATCAACATGTGTCACTTCGAGGCGTTTTTTGGTTTGTTCAGTGTCAGTCGAGCCTTTCTTTTCCTATCTGGATAAATGGAGTATCTTAAATGACTGCTTCCATTTCTTTTCCTTTACTGCAGTTGGGTGGCAGTCACATCCCAATAACTGATGCATGTACGTGGATCTGGAGTAGAGTGCTATGGCTGAGTTTCTGATGTGTTGCCTTTGCAGCTGAGACACCTATTTTTACTGTGTTTTAGGTTTCAACTGGATATGAAGCTTTGATGAGGAAAGGAGAGGGTGTCTCTTTCCCACCCTTTGAAAATGTGCCACCTTTGCTGCAGTGTTAGTCAGGTGGAAAGGAGCAGGCTGTGTTTTGTCAAGTTAACAGCATACTTAATGTAACTTCACATTCTCTGCACGCGTGACAGGTTTTTAACAAGGTGATGATGTACCAAATGGGATTTGTCACTGAGCCTTAAAACGAACATCATAGTTCTTATAATAAAAAGTGCTAAGTAAATAGCAGGATTTACTTTCCTCCCTTTATCATTTTATCAATCTATGTTTGGGGAAGCAGCTGGGAACTTTCATTCAGTGTTGGGATGATACTTGGCCAGCCTGGTCATCTCTGCTGCTGTGGTGATGTCTGGTTTGGGATAACTTTAAAGGTATTGGTAGAAGTGTGGAAGTGCAGCAGCTCTGTTCAAGCCAGGCGAGGCATAGATGCGTGTTGTGTAAGCTTAATTGTATAGCTTCAACACCACATCTTAATGTGGATCAACATCGTCTGCTCACCATCCCTATTCCTTGGCAGAAGGGGGGGAAAGAATCACTTTTGTCACAGCCAAAAGCCTGTCTTTCCATCAGCTGTGGTCTTACCTTGCATGTGTTGGAAGGGGAGATGGGGGTGGGACACACATTTCTTGTTCATGTCATAATCAGGACATCTTGGAAGCGAATACCTATGGGACCGTTGCACAATTTCCCTCTTCTGTAACCCCCTGTGGACCCTCAGCTGCTGAGAAAGTTCCTGTCATCACAAGGAGTCATCTTGTGTTGTTGCAGATGATCAAGGAGCATGCAAGCTGACGTGGGAGGAAACAAGCTGAGAAAGAATGAGGCTGGTGAGTGGTCAGGGTGGGAAGGAAGAAATTGAAGTGTACTGTTGTAGTGACTGGGGAGAGGGGTTAGGTAAGTGATACTGATTGAGGGCACTGCTTCGTCCTGGAAGTTGTCAAAACCTGATCTTTCACACCAGTCTAGGATGTCCACAAAGGCTGCCTGAGGTTTGTACAACTTCTTTCTGCCAGAGTTCCTTGTCCACTGCCAGTTTCCCCAGTGCCCCTGTGTCGTGGTTTAAGCCCAGCTGGTAATTCAGAACCACGCAGCTGCTCACTCAGTCCCCTGCTTCCCCCCTGCTCCTGGAGGGATGGGGAGGAGAACTGAAAGCATGTAAATCCCACGGGTTGAGATAAGAGCAGTCCAGTAACTAAGGTATAATACAAACCACTACTGCTACTGCCAATAATAGTAATGATAAGGGAAATAACAAGGGGAGAGGATAACACAGCACTGCACCAGCTACTAAGAAGGAGAAAAATAACTTTCAGCTGAACCCAGGTCACCCTGGACCAACCTTTGGACTATGATTTCTGCTTTTGACAGTCCTGAGTTACAGGCTTTGCTCAAATTTTACTACTGCACTGAAGGTATTTTGTTTCAAGGCTACTTCATCCTTAGTTCCTTAATAAAATGAGTCTTGTCTTGCTGTCGATCACTATAAAAAGTAGATCTGTCTCCTCTAACAAAGTACACGAGTGTCATACCCTGTTTTTTCTCAGGCAGGCTGTTCTGTAATGGCCTGTGCCATTTACAAGGCTGGAAGTGATAAAACTGCAGTGCCTTATTGTGCACTCAGGGAAGCAGTACATTTTAATCCTAGAAAGATGCTCCAAATGTGTTGTGGTGAAGATGACGCATGTGGAGTTCAAGAGTACAGACATCAGCTGTGGAAATGAAGATTTCCTGCCACTGGCTGGAAAATGGAGACAAGTTACTTGAGGAGATGGACACGGTCTTGCTTAAATGCTAAGAGAAAATTGGCTTTTTTGGGCTGCTATTTGCTTGTCCAACATCAGTCTCATCAAGAATTCAAACCTTCAGTGAACTGAAACGTCTTTGCTACAGGTATGAAAAGATTTAATCCACGTTATGAACAGCGTTTAAAGTAAATTTAAGAAATTATTTTAACCCCCAGTTAGAGTAATTTTAAAGACAGGTGAAACATCTGCCAAAATTAGACTTAGTGAGGGTTAAATTGTAGTTGGTTATTGACTCACATTAAGCAGGTTTTTTCATTGCCTCAAGAAATGGACTGTTATGTTGATCAAGAGCAAAATAATACAGATTCCACACACACCCCCCAGCCATTAGATGTTCAATTGGATGGGGAGCCAGGTCAGTGAACCAGCTTCCAGGGGCTTTTTGATCTTGTACTCATTGAAAGGTACAAAAAAGGGCGTTTTCGTGGCGTGAATGCTAATAAAAGAAATTGTTTCTTTACAAGATTCCAGACAAAACATGTGAGCTCAAGAAGATCAAATGATTTACCAGCAGAACTCTTGATTCTTCGCAGGTTTTGAATGTCTCTGGGGAATCTAGAAAACTAAATTCCAAAAGAGCAAGAAATTCCTGTGACCTTTGTGAATAACTGAGGTTCTTCATCTTTCAGAAATGAAAACACCTTTTGGGTCCTTGTTCTGTAGGAGCAAATAGCAAACACTGAATGATTTAAGACAATCTGAATGGGTGTCTAAGGTTTACTATTACCAGTTTCAGCTTGTCCAAGTCTAAAACTAAGAAATCCAATGTATTTTGCAGTATTTAGAAAACAAAAGAATAAATGTTTCAGTTTTTCTGTGATTTATGGAAAACCCATCGTCACTGAAACGTCACTGTTCATCCAGTTGACTAATTCCACTATGTTAGTGTTAAACTGAAGCTGGGAAACACCTTTAACATTTAACATCAGCTCAGACTTTTGGGATGCCAAAATTATCTTGCAATGCTTTAAATACCCTTTACAGTGGAGCCAGTGCTGGTTATTTACATTCCTCCTTTATATGCAAGAGTGCTTTGTGTAAAGAACTGTTTGGGTTTGTATTACTTCACTGAGAAACCTTGGGACCAAGATCTAAGTAACATTTAGGTGGCAAAAGGCATCAATGCAAAATCTTTTCAATGGTGTAGAAACACGATGCTGAACAGCAACAAGGAAGAGTTATTGAAGCCTTAGTTTGTAAGCTAGCAAAGCTTTGAGCAAAGGCAATTGTTTTTAGAGCTTTGGAACCAAGAGATCTAACCCAAAGGCAGCAGCTACTGAGCTATTTAATCAAGCTTAAATTTGAAACCTATCAATTGCCCCATATGCCTGAGCTTTTTGATTCTAATTTGCATCCACATGTTCTGCCACTAATCTTGAGAGGAAAAAATAATCAGAATAAGGATGAAACACACATTTCTCATTTCACTTTATTAATGTTCCTTGGTTTTATTAAGCAGGGAATTAATGTATTGACAGCGATGACTGCCCACAGATCTCTGCTATTTTAATGGCTGTCCCAGTTAATGAAAGCCAGTGATCTTTAATGAAAATAAATACAAATGCAAATGAAGGTTAAAATTGGTGTCTTTAAGCCAAGGTTTCTGCTTGATGGTTCAAATCCTGTTTGAAAAGAGTGTTGAAGGGAGCAGATTGATTGCCCTGGCTGGGATTGGAGAGCATAAGGGATGCAGCAGCATGTGTTTGGGACTGGCTTGTCCCAGTGTCTTTTGCATGTGGCTGCCCTCTGCTACCCAAGTGCTAAAGACCTTTGGGAACGTATCAGTAGACTTGCCTTGTAATGGATGTGAACGACCTTAAATACTGGCTGTAGCCTTCACAAGGCACAAACAG